ATCGGTTCTGAAGTGAAAACAACCCACAGCACTGGTGCAGAGTGCTTGACGCACAGTGATAGAACTTAACTATAAACAATGTGAATAACAAGAGAGATAAAGAATTATTTACATTCTTCTCCAACTCTTTCCCAGGCATCTGCCTGGCTAGAAATTCTCAGTTTCTTTCTTTGACCGAATCTGAGTCTCACAGGTGACAGAGATTTCAGGGTTTCCCCACAACCTGCCCTGGCTGTCCCGTACCTAAAGGGGCTCCAGGAGAGCTGCAGAGCTGGTTGAGGGCCACAGTCACAGTTTTTAGGGTTTCCCCACAGCCTACATCCCCCGAAGTGCCCCGGGGACAGCCCCACGGACAAAAGCCCCTCCACGGGGGCAGTGACCGAGGGGTGCTGACCCCGCTGCCCCTCTGCCCGCAGCCTCCGCTCCTCGGACCACCCGCAGGTGAACAAGCTGATGCTGACGGAGGAGAGCGGGGCCGGGGCCGGGCCGGGCGCGGCCGAGGAGGGCGGCGTGCGCCGCGCCTACGACAACGAGCAGGACGGCGTCTCCTACAACTACACCTTCTTCCACCTCTGCCTCCTCCTCGCCGCGCTCTACATCATGATGACCCTCACCAACTGGTACAGGTGAGAGCTGCCGTGGGCACCAGCGCTGGCCCCATTCCTGCAGGTCCCGTCCTGCCGGGGTGCTGGGCACAGCTGAGGTGTGTGAGCTGCTGGACGTGCTCCCTTATCGGCGTTAATCATTTTTGGGGTTGTGCCTGGGCTTGGCAGTGTCCTCTGCTGCAGCCCAGCATCCCTTGGGAGGAGAGGGAGCAGGGACCCAGGTTGAAGCTGCAGCTGTGGGGTCACACCCCAAGGTGGCTGCAGCATTGAGATCACATGCAGGGGTGGCCCCAGCAGTGGGGTGACACCCAGGGGTGTTTGCAGCTGTAGGGGCACACCCTGAGGTGGCCACAACCACGGGACACCCCCATGTTCTTGGGGGGCACCCGTCCCTGCCGGGGTGCTGGCAGGGTGTCACAGCGACGGGTGCCACCCTCCTCTTGGCTGTTTCAGGCCGGACGAGAGCTTGCAGGTGCTGAGGAGCCCCTGGACAGCCGTGTGGGTGAAGATCTGCTCCAGCTGGGCCGGGCTCCTGCTCTACCTCTGGACCTTGGTGGCTCCACTGCTGCTGCCAGACCGGGACTTCAGCTAAGGTGGCCCTGGACGTGCTGCTGCCATCGTGGCTTTGTCCCTCGAGGCTGGGGACAGCCCCAGCTCTGCCTCAGCCCCATTTCTGCATGCAGGAGCTGCTGTGCTGGGTTGTGCCTTCTTGCAGCTCTTTTTTTTTTTTAATTTGAAAAGGATGAAGTGCCAAGCAGAGAAAATTAAGGGCTGAGAGAGACCTGAGGGTGGTTTTAAACCTCTCATCGTCTCTGTGTTTGTGTAGTGCCTTTAGCAATGCCTCCAAACCCTCTCTGCCCAGCAGACACCACTGCCTTGCCTGGGGAGGTTTGGTTCTCCCCAGCTGCTGATGCCCCGTGAGGGATGGATCCCTGTTGGTGCCTTTTGGGGTCTCTGGGGTCTGGTTGGGTACCAGGACCCAGGACCTGGCCGGTGTTGTGTCCCCAGACAGGCTGAAGGAAACAAATCCCGGGGACTGGTGGCTGGGGCAGAGGTCCTGCTGCCTGCCAGCCTCGATGGTGGCCCCAGCTCCTCGGGGCTGTCCCAGCAGGAGCACGGGTCCCTGTCCTCTGTGGGGCACAGGTTTCCCACAGGTCAGTCTGCGCTGGCCTGGCCCTAGCTCTTCCTTGTTAATAAAGTCTCGTTTGGAATAAACCCAGTTTATTTGGATTTGACCATTTGGAATCTTTCCTGGTGTGTGGGTGCCCAGCAAGAGGAGGGAGTGGGACATTTTAAACTGACCCGACACCGGGGAGGGGGCACAGCTGGCTGTGGGGGCTGCAGGCAGGGCTGGCATCGCTTTGGGGCACGGCAACTCGGAGCTCTGGACCCCACTGCCAGCCTGAGACACCCCGAGAGCCATGGTGGTGGTGAGCAAAGGGGGGTGCACGACGTGGGGTGCACGACGTGGGGTGCAGAGCATGCCCAGGGGCACACGGGGATGGGGCGAGCTCCGTGTGGGGCACACACGGTGCGGGGGGCACGGGGCAGGGCTGGCCCCGGCTGGGAGCTCTCCCTGGCAGGAGGTGCCGGCACTGCGGCGGCCGCGGGCCCGGCAGTGCCCACTGCCCACCCGAGCAGCCCATCCCTGGCCCTGCGGCTCTGCAGCCCGTCCTGCTGGTGCACTCCAATCCCATTCTTATTGCCATCCTATTCCCATCCCATTCCCGTTCCCATCCCATTCCTGTCTCCGTCCCATCCCGTTGCCATTCCCATCCCATTCCTGTTCCCGTTCCCATTCCCATCCCATTCCTGTTCCTGTTCCCATCCCATTCCTGTCCCCGTTCCCATCCCCTTCCCATTCCCATCCTGTTCCCATCCCATTCCTGTCCCCGTTCCCATTCCCATCCCATTCCTGTTCCTGTTCCCGTTCCCATCCCCTTTCCCATCCCATTCCCATTCCCGTTCCTGTTCCCATTCCCATCCTGTTCCTGTTCCCGTTCCCATTCCCATCCCGTTCCCATCCCGTCCCCATTCCTGTTCCCGTTCCCATCCCCTTTCGCAGCCCATTCCTGTTCCCATTTCCATTCCCATTCCCATTCCCATTCCCATTCCCATTCCCATTCCCGTTCCCATTCCCGTTCCCATTCCCATCCCGTTCCCATCCCGTTCCCATCCCGTTCCCATCCCGTTCCCATCCTGTTCCCATCCCGTTCCTATTCCCATTCCCGTTCCCATCCCGTTCCCGTTCCGTTCCCATCCCGTTTCCATTCCCGTTCCCATCCCATTCCCATCCCATTCCCGTTCCCGTTCCCGTTCCCATTCCCTTCTCGTTCCCATCCCATTCCCATTCCTGTTCCCATTCCCGTTCCCATTCCCATTCCTATCCCGTTCCCATTCCTGTTCCCATCCCATTCCCGTTCCTGTTCCCATTGCTGTTCCCGTTCCCATCCCATTCCCGTTCCCATCCCATTCCCATCCCTTTCCCGTTCCCGTTCCTATTCCCGTTCCCGTTCCCGTTCCGTTCCAATCCTGTTCCCATTCCCGTTCCCGTTCCCATCCTGTTCCCGTGCGGGGCGGCTGCAGCCACGCGATGGCGCTGCGAGCCCGCGGTGCGACACCGGCACCGATCCGGCACCGATCCGGCACCCAGTGTCCCCATCCTGCACCCAGTGTCCCCAAATCTGCACCCAGGGACCCCCAGTCTGCACCCAGTGATCTCACCCCGCACCCAGGAACCCCCAGTCTGCACCAAGTGACCCCAGAACTGCACCCAGTGACCCCAAATCTGCACCCAATGATCCCACCCTGCACCCAGTGATCCCATCCTGCACCCAGTGATCCCATCCTGCTCCTCATCCTGTAACCTTCATCCCACACCCTACCCTCTGCACCCTGCACCCCTGTGTCCTTTCATCCTGCACCCCTGTGTCCCCTGTGTCCCTACACCCTGCACCCATGTCCCCTCTGTCCCCTCACCTCTGTGTCTTTTCATCCTGCACCCCTGTGTCCTTTCACCCCTGTGTCCCCTGTGTCCCCCGTGTCCCCTCATCCCTGTGTCCCTGCAGGGAAGCTCCTGGCAAGGATGGGATTTCCAGATGTATTTTTCAGTCACACCTCCCTCCATCATTTATTTCCAGGAAAATGTTCTTTGCTCCGTTTTCCTCAGGAGGCCCCTGGCAGCTCCACCCCAGTGCCATGCCCTGTGCACCCCGAAACGAGCCAGGAAACTGAGGCAGGGCACTGGGGGTGACCCTGGCTGTGCTGCCTTTGGCTTTCCTGGGTTTGGGATTTCAGCAGAGCAGCATCCCAGGGGCAGGTTGTTCCCTGTGCCATCCGGCCCATCCCTCTGGATTTATCTGCCCACACTGTTCCCGAGCTGTGCAAGGCAACCTGAGGAGCTCCAGCCACAGGAAAGCCTGGCTGCTTTTGCCTTCCTGGCTGTATTTTGGGAATAAATTAAAAAAAAAAAAATTAAAAAAAAAAGGAAAAAAAAAATTGATTGATGGCACAAAATCCCCCAGAACGCAGCATGAGGTGAGTGGGACTCACGGGCAGTCTGAGCTCCATTTCCCTCTCTGGGAATGCTCTGAACTCTCCGCAGAGTTGTGGCTGTTCTGCATTTGCTTCTCAGCAAGTACCATCCCCAGCTGAGTCCAACACCCCATGCTCTGCAGGGGAAGGAGGGCAAGCTCCGTGCCAGCTGGGCACCGCGGCTGAGCTCAGCCTGTCACGGCAGAGGCTGCAGGAGCAGCCCACGTCCCCTGGAGGTGGCACCCCCAGCCCCCGGTGCCCAGAACTGCCCCCGGGGCTCCCCAGCCAGGGCTGGGCTCACGGGGCTCATGGAAAAGGGAAGAGCCCCCAGAGATCTGGGAGAGGGCAACGGAGCCACGAGGGACTACAGCGCTCCTTTATCTGGTGACTGCCACTTCCAAAGGGGAAAGTCCCCACAAGCACCCGCAGCTGCATTTCTGGGAGAGCTGGGGGTGCTCCCTGGAGAGGAGAAGCTCCAGGGAGAGCTCAGAGCCCCTGCAGGGCCTGGAGGGGCTCCAGGAGAGCTGGAGAGGGACTGGGGACAAGGATGGAGGGACAGGACCCAGGGAATGGCTCCCACTGCCAGAGGGCAGGGCTGGGTGGGAGATTGGGAATTGGGAATTGTTCCCTGGCAGGGTGGGCAGGGGCTGGGCTGGAATTCCCAGAGCAGCTGTGGCTGCCCCTGGATCCCTGGCAGTGCCCAGGGCCAGGCTGGATGGGGTTTGGAGCACCTGGGAGGTGTCCCTGCCAATGGCAAGGAGTAAAACTGGGTGAGCTTTAAGTTCCCTTCCAACCCAGCCCATTCTATTTCCATGATAATTTCCCGGGTGAATAATTCATCAGCGAACATCTGCCACCTCCAGCTCTGCAGAAAACACCGCCCTGGGCTGGGTCCCCTCCCTGCCTGTCGCTGCCCCGAGTCGCGGCTCCAGCCTGGAGGTGGGATCCGACCGGGGACACCCCTCGGTATCTCCCAGGTGGCTTTAATTGCGCTAATTAATCTCCCTGGGGGCCGCCCCAGAGGGATGGATGGGGCGGTTCAGGATGACGTGGGGCACTGGGGAGCCCAGGAAAAGCCGTGCAGCAGTCACAGAAGGTGATTGTGACCATTGCAATCCCAAATTAAACTGGGTTTAACCGCAAGGTTTGGCACAGGACCCTCCTGGGGTCACCAAGCCTTTGGGACCATGAGTCTGGGTGGTGGGGACAGAGGTGCCACCCTGCCCCCGGCCATCCCGGTGCTTCCAGGAGCTCCCCAGCATCTTTTTGTTCTCTTTAATGCATGGCCTCCCTTGTTTTTTATTTTATTCCTGGGATTAACACATCGGGCAGCAGCCGGACTGGCTCCTGCTCAAAAGAGGAGGGGAAGGCGTTTACATAATTCATTTAAATGAGGCACCCGAGGAAACCCAAATTGGACTTGCAGCATGTTTACAGAGCCACGCAGAGCTCCGCCATCCGCATCTGGAGCCGCTAATGCCTCCCAGACGGAGCACAGGGCATGGATAATTAATTAATTGTGGAGCGGAGCCCTTGCCCAGCCCCCAAACTGAGCGCTCGGGGCCGCAGGCTGCGACGCCCGGCGCTGCTCCCCTGGGGCACGGATTGAATTCCCGGGGCTTTTCTCCTTCCCAAAATGTTCCTTGAAGGTTCTGGGGGTTGAAGCCGTGGGAGGAACGAGCCGAGCTGGGCTGGAAAATCCCTGCCCGGAGGGGTTTGAGGGGAGGAGGAGCAGGCGGGGGCTCCTGGGGGCGATGGCAGTGCCAGGGCTGGGAGGGGACAGAGGGGACAAAGCCCTGCAGGGCGAGGGGACACGGGGACCCTCGGAGGGGACACGGGGACCCCTTGTAGGGGATAATCCCCCTGCAAGGCGAGGGGACACAAGGATCCCCGCGAGGGGACAAAACCCTGCAGGGCGAGGGGACACGGGGACCCTCGGAGGGGACACGGGGACCCCTTGTAGGGGATAATCCCCCTGCAAGGCGAGGGGACACAAGGACCCCCGCGAGGGGACAAAGCCCTGCAGGGCGAGGGGACAAAACCCTGCAGGGCGAGGGGACAAAACCCTGCAGGGCGAGGGGACACGGGGACCCTCGGAGGGGACAACCCCCTTGCGGTGGGGAGCAAAGGGTCCTGCCCCACTCAGCCCCAAACATCCCTGTTCTGTAGGATCAGACAGCTCCTGCTTCAAGTTGGGGGGGGTGTCCTGTGGGACATCGGGGGTGCCCCGGGACCCTTCCCCGCGCTCCTCCCCTCCTGCCCTCGGGAATCGCTCCCTGGGGATGCCTCAGGGGCTGGAGTCGCTCCCTGGGGATCCCTCAGGGGCTGGAATCGCTCCCTGGGGATCCCTCAGGGGCTGGAGTCGCTCCCTGGGGCGCTCCAGCTGCAGCACCCGCAGGCAGCTCCAGCCCCAAACCCGGTCCTGATGCTGGGGGGGCTTTGAGGGTTCTGAGAAGGAGCCCCCGGCCCTGCACAGGGACACGGGGACACCTCAACCTTCATTTGCAGCCCCCTGCAGCTGGGATTGACTCCTCAGCCCTCCCGCTGCTCTCGGAGCTGCTCTCTCTACCTTCAGCACCACTTTGAAGAGCAAAGGAAGGATGGGAAGGAAGACAGGAGAAAAAAAAAAAGGAAAAAAAATTGAAAGCCTCCAGCTTGAACCCTGCTGCTGCAGAAACATCTGTATCTATAAATATCTGTGCTGGGAGTGGGAACAGGCTGTATCTGTATCTGCAGCAGCTCCCGAGGCGGCGGCAGCAGCCTCGCCCCAGCTAACCCCGCTCCGGCTCCGGCACACGCTCCCGAACACGCCCCGGGCTCCGCAGCCTGCCGCCAGGTTTTGGGAATAAACCCCCAGACTGGTCTCCAATAAAACAGGAAATAAAGCAGGGCCGTGCTCGTGTTCCCAGCGAGTTCCCGGCGAGGGGGAGCAGCGGCCTGGGGTCACTGGGGCTCTGGGGGACAGGGGGGCTGTCCTTGCTGGGCCACCATGTCCTGCTGCTGTCCCCACCCCGCTGTCACTCTGGCAGTGACCTCGTCCACCCCTCCAGACGGGACTGTGTGTGCTCAGAGAAACCCGGATCACAATCTCAAATCCCAAACCCAAATCCCACATCCCATATCACAATCCTATATCCCAATCCCGTGTTCAAATTCTGTATCCCAGTGCTATGTCACAATTCTATATCTCAGTCCCATATCCCAATCCTGTATCTCAGTCCTATAT